AATGTTTGTGAACCATATAGGCCAGTCCCAGTCGAATGCTACATGTCGTCTATGGGGGTTATGTAAAGGCGCAAAAGAATGCAATGCAACATGTGCAACCAAAGGTGGGCTCAAGACAGGAACTTGTTTATCTTTCCTTGATAAACTTTTTTGTTGTTGCTGGGATTAGGCTATGTCTAATCCTCCTAATAAATAATTTATTCATAATTCAATATGTATTCTCAATAATATGAATAAAAAGTGTATTTGAGTCAAAAAAATGCATACATTCAATCAGGTATAAGAGATTTGGAATCATTCATCTAAATGCTACCGTGATCAAATTGTTTACTCACAATCTAATGAATACAAGAAAAACCAAAATGTAACATCAAAATAAAACCTTAAGTGAGCCGTCGGTTTGCTTCTTGTCTCAGCTTGACCTCGTCAGAAGAAAAGGTTCAGGTGGTGGTTGTTGCGGTCTTGGGTTCAAGACTGAGAGACAACTTCTTTTGCTTAAAACTAAAGAACGGCACCTTCCTCAAACTTTTCCTAAAGTCGTTGGCTTTGTTCGGCCCAAAGAATTACCAAGTTTGGTTGCTATTTGCAAAGTTTTTTTTATGGAGGTTTGTTTTGGAGAAACTGTAGGCACATTGATCTAAGGTTGAAGGACTAGCATGGTGTTTAACCCAGAAGGATTCAACAATGAATTTGTAATAGACAGGAGGTCGGAAAATTTCGTATATTAGAATTTGAGTCCGAAATAAGTGTTACAAAATAGACCGCAGCTGATAGTCCGGACAGATGTGGGAGTCGAAATCCGCACAATCAAAACTTGTAGAGACTTGTGTAGGGAACTGAATTTCTAGGGTTAAACCAATGCAAACGTAAAGAGAATCGAAAAACTTGTTCTATTCCTGTTCAGAAAGAGTTAGCATACAAGTTTTTGTGTATTGATTTTTGGATCCCTTTCTCAAGGGATGTACATGAGTATGTATAGTAATCTAAGTCGGCAAGTCTATTCCTAAACGATAATGGAAATCCTTTTCTTCCTCTTGCAATTTTCATTCTTCCCAAGATTGCTTGTGTCGGTCCATTCGTCGGCCTTGTCACGTGCCACTTCGGTCCACCACCTGTTTATCAAGCGGACCTCGATACATCGTCGTTTGCCTTTGGTATGCATCGACCGATGTCGTCACCTTGAGTGCTCGACATCGGCGCCACATGAGGTCGACATCGGCACGACATCGGCACGTCCAACGATCGACTTCGGCACCATCAACACACAACTTCGGCATCACATCGGCTCCCTTTCGTTACTGCATCGGAACGTCGTTGGCTCCACTTCGGCTCCACTTTGTCAACACATTGGCACAACATTGGCTCTGCATCGGCGCCGCATTCATTCGACATCGAAACCAATGCACGTCGACTTTGGCTCCTAATGCAGACGACATCGGTACCATTGTGGAATAACTTCGGTTCCAATTCTTCCCGACATCGGCGCTAGTAGATATCGACTTCGGCACGCATTGACATCGGCACCGTCGACATCGGTATGCGACTTCTCCACTTCGGCATTGCAGGTTCGGGCAAGCCGAAGTCAATTCGGCCATATTGATATGTCTCCACGATAATTGATATAACTTCCTCACCGTTGATCCAAATGACTTCAAACTTCTTTTGGGTGATAACTGACTCAATTATCTAACTCGTGACTGAATATCGGCTTGTTTGGTCTTTAGATAAATTGGTACCGATGTCATCTCTTCGGCACTTCGGCCACTTCGGCCAGATTGACATGTCCTCAGTAAATCGAGTGTATCTCAGCAACCACAACTCTAAATGATATGGTTTAAACTCCATTGGAAAGCTAACGCAAATATCTTCCTCTACATGGCAACTTCGGCACAATGTCATGGGCGGAACAACTTCGGCAACCCTTCGAACTGATGACTTTGGCAGGGTGGTTTCGGCCGGATTGATACGTCCTTCGTAAATTGGGCGTATCTTGCCAACCACAACTCCGAATGACATGATTTAAGTTCATTGTAAAGATAACTCAAAGATATTGCTAATCATGGTGACTTAGGAACAATGTTATCGGCAGAAAGACTTCGGCACCCCTTCGAACTGATGTTTTCGGCAGGGTCTTCTGCAGAACAACTTAGGTGCGGTGCAGTCACGAGCATCAAGTAAAGCTTTTGCGCCTAAGTCACTTTTTCTAGTTCTTGGGCTTAATTGTTTTGACTGTTGTTTTCAGGGAGAGGGAACTCTTACCCCAACAACAGATCTCGGGCTATTAGATTGCTATAGATCAGAAAGAGTGTAGTAGGCCGGACAGATCCCGGACTACTCAGTTCGTTGCGAGCTAATAAAAGTATGTAAACATTTTTGGTGTTTTCCGGTCGGTGGTGACCTCCCAGCGAGCTCTCTGTCGGAGTTAGAGATCTGAACGGTAATGCTCTGGGTCCTTTGTACTCTTTTCAGAGGTATAGAAGATGAATGGTCACATCACATTGTACTCCTATTTATAGTACAAGGTTGAGGATACATCCTAGGTTTTATTAACTGTAGTTACCGAATCAGACCCATGTTTAACCAGACCATAGTTTCTGTTGGAGTTGGGCTTCCACTGTTCACAGGCCACTGACCGTCGGGTCGTAAACCGTTTGGGCCGCAGGTTCAGGCTCAATCGTAGCCCCCCCCAGTCAGCAAAATGGGATGGGCTGAACTTCGTTGTTTCTGCGCTTTAGGCCCGACAAGCGAAGCCCAATTCGAAGTCGTCTTCTGATTGGTCCGTTCTACCGCCCTAATGCTTCTCTCGAGGTGCGACGGTTCGTCTTCCGGTCTGAGTCTATAAAAAGAGGAG